ACACACACACACACACACACACACACACACACACACACACACACACACGCACACACACACACACACACACACACACACACTCCAAAACCTCAAGGGTGTAGCTAAGTTAAGCAGAAGAAGACAGAGAGAGGGGGATTAACCTTTAACACAGTGTACAAAGACACTGCTTGTCTCTCAGCCAAAATGCCTTGAGAGCCATCTGGCATGAGGTACACACCCACACACACACACAAATACATGAACAAATGGACTGCCAGAGGTCACTCTTTATGATGAATTTGCCAATTCATGCCGTAACCTATAATAGCCTTGCAGCTGGGATTCTCTGTTTATCCTCAGTTCTGTAATATTCTTTATTTGTAGCCTACTGACTGGTTGCTGCTCTTAAATCCAATCTCTCCCTCTCTCCCTTTTCATTTAAAGCTACTACAATTAGCTTTCATTTTGTTTTGATTTTGGTCATTTTACTGCAGCAGGGTCTGACAGTTTTCCCCTCAGTCCTGGTCCTGGTTCTCCTATGCCGACCTTTCCTCCCACGCGCCCAGCAATACGGCCTGGGTCTCCATTAGCGTGGTGTCGGTGTTCCCAGCTCCCAGCGGGTTTTGGTTCTTTGCTATTTGCCGGTCGACTACCTAAAATGTTTTACCTGTTTATTCCTCTCCTCTTTGACTTATCATCCTCCACACAATTGACTTGACAGTATCTCACCTCTAAAACTGTAGAGGAGGGCCAGACATTGCAGATCTTTAAAATGCAAAGTGGCTTACTAGTTTAATGGTGTAATAGTGTTAAGATACTGTTGCAATACTAAAGAATCTGGTCATCTATAGTGATCTATTTAATCACAACTGGTGTAACTATTAACTGATGTCTGATCATACAGTTTGATATTTTATGGATATATGGGTCTTTTCTTCTGAATCTGTTTAGAAAGTTTGTTGAAAGTGCTGCGTATCCCTCAGCCCACGAGCTCCTGCATTTTCATCTGTGTCCTTCATGGACTGTTTCACTCATTTTTATTCCCATGCTCCTTTGATAAATGATTAAAATACTGACACTGTGCAGGAGGCATAACTCAGCACTTTAGTGTCCCTGTTATTTCACATACAAACACACACAGAGGAGCACTGACTGTACTGTGATGGTAGCTAAACTAAAATGTAAAAGAAATTGTAATTTCCAAGATGAATACATTCCTCAAATAAAACTGCCTTCCTTGCTCAGTCTCATTGTATTTCAGGTATTTGCAGAAGTTTTTGTTGGACGAACCTTGAGCAAGCACACACTGAATTAAGTTAAATTTTTCCATTTGTTTGTAAGTTTGTAAATGATCGAGCTCAGAAGATGAATGTGGTGCACAATGACAAAGCCATTTTCGTTTAAAAGATAGATTCCTCTCTTCCTTCAAATTACTTGTGGTAGTCCTTGCGTCTGCAGACTTGTTTTGCAGACTAAAATAAAACTTTATACCTCCTTAAAAAAAATAACTGCTAATGAATCATCCTGTAGACGGCATGCTACCTGCACACCTTTTTCATCTCTATTTGCACAATATTTGTTCCATACATTGCTGATAAAATGTTAGCATTTGGTTTTTATCCTAGTAATTTTAAACCCTTGTTTGTTTTAATACTACTTAATCATTACGATCCTATACAGACAGGCAGGAAAGACAATGAAGTTGACTATTACTTGAAAGGAATAAATGCACCTTCCTGAAATGGGGGTTCTGCCTTATTTATTGGAGTTCATCCACAAAACATCAAACAACTGACAGTTGAGATGCAGCCTTTGTTGGCCACACACAAAAAAAGAAATCAGAGCATATCTCCTAGACCACAGAAGGAAAACATGACCCACATTGTTCATCTTGGATGTTTTTTGGGGACATATTTCAGCTCAGATAACCATTTGATTCCCTCTCCCAATCAATAATTTAGCCTCCTTCCTTAGACAAAATAACATTTTTATACTATTATCTTAGAAAACCAGATATTTTACATTATATTTGTCTTGTCCTGACAAGGTTCTTTAATAGTTTGACCTGTCCAAAAGGGTTGCCATCCCATCATATTAACATGATGAATGTATCAGTTATAAAAGCTGGAGACTTACAGCCCGCTGTGACACAAATACCAGACACTCTGGTGTCTCATTAGTCTTCCTAATAATCAGTGATGACACTGATGGTGACAGTGTTGGTTGATGTGCTCATCTTTAAATATGGCATTCTCATGCCATTAATTTAACTGTTTCACAGCCAGTTAATTGTCTCATTATCTTTTGCATTATCCTGATTCATTTTGCACTTCAGACACCTGGCCGATCTGTTTTCTTGCAATTTGGCAGCTTGCAGTAAAACAGCATGCTCTCTGATTGAATTCAAAACACGTGGATGGATTTTGCTGAGTCTACTTTCTGTCCCTCCACATTCTGTCCCCACAGATCTATCCAGAGTCTGTTATACAGAGAATGAATAGACTTTAATCACATAGAAAGAGACTCACACTTGGAATAACAGAGAAAGAGCTAAAGAGACCAATGGCTGTGGCTACGGCAAAGAGGAGGCTGGGAGGTGGAGGTGGCACTAAACACGTTAACAACTTTGTTGTGTGAATCAGTCACTCGGTTCCCTCTACAAAACATGGACAGAACTTACTCACACTAAACAGCCTTTTATAAATCTACAGTATATTCTCCAGCGATATGGTGGCGGATGGGGTTGTGAGGTTTTCTTCCTGCCGTCGGACCTCATGGCCATTGTCTCTGGTGTCAGAGATTCAAAAGTCACATCACTCTTCATCTTCTGTGATCACACATGTACAGTGAAGTCCAACAAGGTACATGGATATGGATTTAAAGCAGTTAGACAACTTTTACTTGATCTGTTTCGTACAGTTAGATCGAGGACTTGTACATGTAGTGTCAGACCACATGGTTAAAAGATGTACTGCGTATCATACATACAGTATTTGATTATAATTTAGAAAGAAACCTGTGTACTTTGTTAGTCAACACCAGTACATACCAGTCTTTACCAGCTTTTTGATACAACATAATGGACGTGTCATTATTACACTGTTACAAACTGTTCTCATAAAGTAAAAGATTCTATTGGCTAAAATAAAACAGGCAAGACGGAGTGATAAGTGATCCTAAATAAGCATTCCTACTGTGATAAAGAAAGAAAATCCCTCTATTGAGTGTATCCAATGCTCTGTTGATCAAATTGAACGCAAAAACACTAAAATTCACAGTGAAACATTTCATTTTAATGACTAACCTTAACATTATGAACTCAGACTGAGGGGATATTGTTTACATGTGTGTGTGTGAGTGGATTTGTACACACAGGACAAAGATAGTTGAGGTGATTAAAATAAACTCAAAAAGAGACAATGAGGTGGACTGTGGTGCTGTATGAGTCGTTCAGTAAAATAAGCAGTTTTTTAAATTAATAGTGCAGATAAAACAATGATATTAACACTGATGTCAGGGAAAAGACAATTAGCTGCCACATTTTCTTTCCCTTATTGATATCTTACTCAATGTAAAAAAGAAAATCTATGCATCGCCCTCTCTAATGCCCCAGTGATCCCCAACCTTTTGCCTATAGTCTCCACAGGGTTGCTGTTTAGTCTGCATATCCAACCTATTTTCCTCTTCTAGATATCAACAATTTGTCTCCGAAATCAAGAAAGAGTGGAACAATGAATGTCTGTTTCTATTCTTAATTTAGAATGTTCTAATGTAACATAATGGTTCAATTGACTACTTGATTCAGCAGCTTGGCAGAGTTGCAAGGCTCCACACACTTTCTTGAGTTTCTAGAAAACACTGCGTGGCCCAGCTTGGGTACCCAGACTGTAGGCAGAGGACCACATACTACACCCTTCATTGTTTCCTTCCCCCTATGCACATTCTCTCTCTCTCTCAATCTCTTCTTCCCATCTTCCTCCCCTCTATCCTGCTGCTGCAACCAGCTATGTAAAGTCCTTGGAAACAGCCTCTATGAAGTTGGGTGCTGCCATGAGGATGGTGAAGGTGCAAATTATGGAGAAGAGAGAGAATGCCACCAGGCACAGCCGGTCCACCACCGCCGCTGCAAACTTCCACTCGCTGCAGATGACCTCAACCCTGTCCTGGTCCCGGAACCGCTGGGCTATGTACGACACCTCCTCCAAGATGCGCTGGATCTCTGGTGGGGGGATGCCGACTCCCAACCCGGGTCCAACTCCCATCACCAGGCCTCCGACACCACTGCCAACTCCTCCAGATGGCTCAGCCTCATCACTTGGGGAACCATGGGCACGCCCCCCTAGCGCTACCCCGGAGTCGCTAGAAGGCGGGCAGTGTGGGCCTTCTATGGGGTGGTAATTGCCAAAGTAGAGGCTCATGGAGCCGTTGGAGCTGCCTGTGGGGCAAGGTGGGCAGGATGTCTGTGAGAGGGGCATACTGAGGCTTGGAACAGTGGCCATCTCTATAGAGCCGGTGCTGGTGTGGTGCTGGGAGTTGTGACTGTACTTGTAACCAGACCGCTTGCGCTCATGGGCAGGTTGTTTCATACGGAGAAACCAGGCACACCAGTTCAGCAGGACCACCCGAACCTGAAAGGAGAGATGGAGCATGAGTCGCGCGCGCACACACACACACACACACACACACACACACACACACACACACACACACACACACACACACACACACACACACACACACACACACACA